TGATAAGATTATTCAAACAAACAAATGAAAAAGAGAAGAGACAAGAATATACAGTAACTTACTTTCGTAGGAATCACGGTCAATTTTAGCAACTAAAGACAAGCCATTTAAACCCTTAGATCGTCCTAGAGGACGAGTGATGCTGTCGTAAGGGTTTCCTAAGAGATTAACCCATAACTCTCACGAACCAAACAAACAAGGAAAAGCATAAAAAAAAGCTAAGAAAAGAAAAAGAAAACAAATGTTCATGAGTGGACTTTTGCAAATGAGCAAGCACAAATAGATGTAGTTCGTCCTAAATAAGTAAGGGAGTGCATGTCTGATGATATCCAAGGTTGATTGAAACGTAGTATATGCTAAGCATAGAGAACTAATGAAACAAAATTAACCTTCATCTCAAAAAAAAAATTTAACACATTCCCCCAATTAGCTTAAAAAATACCTTTAGTGAGCGTCTCAATGGTTCCTCGAAGGAACCGAAAAAGAAAGAAGTTTGAGGCTACTCGACATCTCGACTATTGCATACCGCTCTATAAGCTTGACTCTCATCTCCCTTCACCAACTTGTGACTCAACATAAAAGGTCAAAAGGTCTTAAAAAGGGTTGTAATGTAAGAGCGACAAGGGTGAAGGCAGGCTAAAATTTGAAATTTTGTTGTATACCTAAATTGTGAATCAAAGATTTTCTTTTTTAAGGATAATTTTCATTTTTCACAATTTTTTAATTCACTTTTTCCAAAGAATTTGAATTTGCTTTGCTTTTTCTCATATTTTTTTTTCTATTTTTTTTATATATCACATTATTTCTTTGTCCTCGCCTCTTTTAACTATGCACAGCTTTTCAACTTTGTATTTCCTTTTTATTCACAAAATATCGACAACACAAACTTGCTTTCATTAAAACAACCAAACAATCATTCTAATCCACCAAAACTCCAACAATAGAGACCAAATGCTTCACAAAAACCAACGATGGGAACATGAATGAAACAAAAGGCTCAAAAGATAAAGATGTGGCTTGAAAAGAAGGTTTATGGCACAAATGGTTAGCAAGTAGGAAAATGAAAACCCAAAATAATGAAATAGAAAACTATCCTAAAAAAGAAAATCACCACCCCGAAAAAGATGCCTTTGTCCTTCCTAAATGGCTCGGTCGCGATCTCGAGAGACAAGAGTCTAATTCTAGATAAAGCATACATTAGTCAAGGATCCATGTGTAGCTCAATCTAAAATTGTTGAATGCAAGAAGAAATAAAACCTCACATGCTTGTAGCAAAAACTCACTATTAGTTTCAAATTTACCAAAGGGAGAAATTGCATACAAATTTTCAAAAATAAATAGAATCCGACTTTAAGGTCCCAAAAGTGCTAGAGACACTACCTTAGCATACTCTTTCCTAGAATCAACCACATATACTCTCAAATCGGGCACACCGTTACTATTTAAGAAGAAAATCATTCAACTATACAAGTTCAAAAGTTTTATGTCCAAAGCATGAACAAAACAAAACGCATTGTAAATTTTCCTTGATAGAAACAAAAATCTTTTTGGAAATTTTCCAAATAAAGAACATGGCAATGCATATATAATTGTGCATGGCATATATGAATCAACATCCCACCAAACATGATAGAATACCCTCCACCAAACTTGAATGAGACAATATGCTAAAATATAAATCAAAGAATCCATGGGAGGAGAAAAGAAAGAAATCAATCCAACAACACATGTCCAACAAGTCATCAACCACTAGAGAAAGAGCAAGGAAAGATATTACCGTATATATGTGGGTGTAAATACCCACAAATGCCCCAATTAAACCATTCAAAGCCAATTTTCCTCTATAATTGACTCTTGCCTTCCATATGCTAGCAATTGTTAAATCATACTTCCTTGAACCTTGATCCAAACAAATGCGCACCAAAGTATATCAAGTTTTATACCTAGCAAAAGGCACACAAACATTTCCATGAGAGAAAATCTATTCTAAAAAGAAAAGAAAATGAAAGCAATAAAACACGGGCTACTTCTCGAGAAAGGCTTGCTTACGGTCCAAGCTTGACTACTCAAGAAAATAATATTGCAACGAACACAAGAGCTTGTCAAATGCACGACTACACATTTTGTAAGATAGAAGGTAGGAAAATGACGAGAAGAGGATGTGCAAAAATCTTAGTGCATACTCATGAGGAAAGAGATGCCAAGAAAAGGAAGAAAAATCAAAAGCAAATTCAACAAATAAGAAGAGGAAGAAGAGGAAGAAGAAAAAGATAGAGAAGAATAAGGCAAACTCTCCTCAAAATGTTTTTGAGTGGAAAAATCGCCCTTTTCCTCAATAGAAAACGAATGAGGGACATGTAAATCATCATAGACTAGGGGGTCCCTAATAGGCTTAATGACTAAAAAAAGGGAGGGACATAGGAATGTAGGGGATATGGTTAAATTTTCTTGAAAAAAAGACATAAGGAAGGGGAATAGGGGCAATGGTCTTACAAATGAACTCTTCCTCACCACCATGTCTCAAATCACCAATAAGTGCATGAAAATCAATCATAGAATCCTCAAAAGAAGAACTCTCATGATCTCCATCTCCCTCAAATATCAAACTTCCAAGAGGAACTACATAATCCTCTCCATCACAAATATGAACAACAACTACCTCAACATCCTTAAAGCCCAAAGTCTCAAAATCATGCATGAATGGATGCAGATTCATCTCAAACTCATCTAAGTCCCCAGAAGCGTTCTCAATGAAGTCATCCAAAAATCTGTAAGTCCTCATATAACTTTCAAAAAATAGATGGGAAATTTCCTCAAAAGATTCTATATACTCATAAATTAAAGGGTCACAAACATACACTTGAGACTCATCAAGATGGTAGAGGGGATTAGGGTTCACAAATTCAACATTAGCTTCATTCCTAACTCCTTCTCCATCACTCAAATGCTCACTAATGGGATCCTCACACTCTCTTGGTTGCTCAAAATCATCATCATCATCATCATCATCCTTAACACACACATTGGATTTGGAATTTTCATAAACAAGCATCAAGGATGACAATTGGCTTTCTAGCTCTATTTTTCTATTCAATTCTTCATTAAAAATTTCCTCACACTCTCTAATCATCTCCAATTGGGTCCTTAAAGTTTTAATCATTTGTGTCTCCAAGGGCCTAAGATTAGGATTCATCTTCAACTCCCTCAAAGATTCATCAATTTGACTATAAGGGATTAGAGACTCATAACGAGAGTTTGGAGAATGGAAAGGTGAAGAGGTTTGAGGGTTGAGAGTAAAAGAAGAATCACAACCAAGGGTAGGATCATCAACATTAAAGTCATGAGCATATTCATCACAATGGCGAGTGGGGGCATAATCAAACATATGAAATTCGTCATTGAGGGAACGAAGCGCATCACAAGAAGGCATGGTAACTAATGAAGAAAATTGAAACACACCATTAGCATTAACTTGAGCATGCACCTTATCATCATGATCAAAAGGGGAAATAAATTGAAAACATTTGTTCTAGGTTCACTAATGGGATCATGTGACAGATCATGGGAAATCATGCTAACATTAGAAGAATCAAGACATTGCACATCAAGATTACCCCTATTATAGACATCCCAAGCAAACATAGAAATCTAAAGCATCATCAATTTACAATGCTCTAAATTCACCATTATGCATGCATTCAACTTCATCCCTAGTTTTCTCATTCAAACCAAAATAACAAATTTCACAAGCCTCCCAAAGAATACAACAATTATAGTCTAAAAATCCCTCAAGTTTATTGAAATATTCACAAAAAGGCTCATTATTATATTGAGGAAATGATAGAACTGCCATTTTTTAACAAAACAAACAAAAATCAAATAAAAGAAAAAATATACAAAGACCTAGACTCAAGCAATAAAAAACACTCACACATAGGCACCGTTCCCTGGCAACGACGCCATTTTGACGAGGGGAAAGGACTAGGTCATTGACTAATCCTCCCTAAGTCAAACTAAATTTATAAACACTTATAAACCTAAATACAAGTACAGTGGTAAGTCAAGGGTTGAACCCAAAGGAACGGTTATGTTCAAGTGCTCTTAATTATGCGCCTAAGCTAGGTCAAAGCCTAAGGTAAAGGGGTAACACTAACAACTAACAAACAAACAACCAAACAAATAAAACACTAGGAATGGGGATCAACAAGTAATCATGACAATTGAAAAAACTTGGGAAGAACATGCCAATCAATGGTTGTGGAATGAAAGAGCTATCTCCTAATCGTTAAGGTAGGTGTCTCTACAAATAACAAACTAAGAGAATCACAATCCAAACCAAACAATAATTGCAATTCCTAAATCAATTGGTTGTGTCATTAGCAATTACAATGCAATCTAGCATAATTCTTAAGGCCTAATTTAATTACACACATGCAAACTTATATTAATCACTTTAATCTCAACAATCAATCAACACAATTCCCAAATTAATCACAATCAATCAATCATACAAGTTTCACCCAATTCCTAGCCAAACAACTACTCAGAACCATCATCTATCAACAAATAACTAAAGAAATCAAGAATCAACCAAATATCAAGAACAATTACACTAATCAAGAATCAAACACTAGTGGAAAAAACGCTATTAGCAACTGGCGAAAAGTGGCTTTTAGCAACTGGCACGTGGGGCTGCTATTGCGAGGGCTACTAATGAGAATATTATTTGCAACTGGCGCATGTTCATTGCTAATAGCTATTATTTGCAATTGGCCAATAACTAGGCCCGTTGCTAATAGTACATATTTGCAGCTGGCATATAGCTCGGCCAGCTGCTAATAGTACCTATTTGCAGTTGACATATAGTTCATCCAGTTGCTAATTATATCTATTTGCAGCTGGCATATAATTTGGCCAGCTGCTAATAGTCATTTTTTAAAATTAAAAAAGAAAATAAAATAAAAAACAATTTTATCCGAATTTGTGCAGGAACTGCTATGTATATCATATACTTATAAAAGTTACTATTGTAACGAAATTGTGTTATACTGTATACATTATATACAAATTTATAAAAATTACAAGGCTGCCAATCTACCCAACAAAAAAAAAAAATAAAAAAATAGCAGCGACATCTTCCTGGAGTGACAACATTTATGAGAAGCAACGACTCAAATCAACTACATTAGCCATACGTTTTCCTGCTAAACATAAAAGTACAATAAAGAACAATTGATTAGAAATTCTTCTAAACATAAGTAAAATTGAACAAAAAAGCACCAAAACATGACAAGAACGAACTTGAGTGCTCGAGGTTCAAGTTTCTATGAGAGAAATACACGCACTGAATTTTACAACAGCACAATAGCAATAAATACACCCACAACATAGTATTGATGTATTGTTAAGAAGCATCCAAATATTATAATCCACTTCTATTTACTAGATTGATTTAAGTATACCAATTAGTTGTTCAAATTCAAAGAGTTTTTGACCACTGCGAGTCCAATTATGTTGGTATTTTGGTGGACACACTAACTTAAACAGAGGTATTGATAACTCATTCAAATATCTAAGAGCTATTCCATATATTTTTTAATGGCATTGTCAGTCATGCATGATTCCAATACTAAGAAGTCAAAACATATTTACTCCGGAAAATTGACTATGCCAAAATAATAAACCATTTGTATCATCATGCTAAGATTGCCAATTCTAATAAAAACACCTTCCAAGAAGAAATCATGTTATTTCTGCCCACTTTCTCTGGTGATAGCAAGTAAGAAGTGATTCTTCCTCCTCTGTCAATGCATCTTTCTTTATCACAGGGTCAAGATGGTTGTTCCACCTACATGAGAACAAAAGATGAGAGGCCGAGAGGGAAATAAAGAAAAACCAAAATTAAACAAAACTTTTGCCACCGATGTAGGCATTGCACATCCATCTTTCCCGACTCAGCTGGAGGATATTCAAAGATAAAGTTATTAAACAAATTATAAACAACTACAAGAATTTACTAGATACAATTACAGTATATATTCACCATGTAAAAGATTCACCTCACAAACTTTCCTTGATCAAGCATATAATCTTTTTATTATGAACTAAATTCAAACTGATTGTAATGCCATCAGGGCCTATCATATTTCAGCAAAGCAAAATGGTAAATTCAATAAATGGACTAAGTTTCTTACAATAGTCAAGGTTAAATGTTTAAACAATACGGAGTACTTAAAGAACAAATGAAACTACTATGTATAAAGGTTTGCACTCAGCTATTATTTACCCAATTCTTCGCATTGTATTTCTTTACAACAGCAATGAGAAGATTGTCCTGTTTTCAAGATCAGCAAAACATTATAAAAGTAAAAACATTGGTTTTAATCTAGTCATCATACACTACACTAATAGTCCAATACACATATACATCTGATCAAACACTAAACTAGTGCAAAGTTAAGGCATGATTTCAAAATATAGAGGATCTAATAAAGAGCTACCATTCACCTCTTTCTCTGTCCACCCTTCCTTCGATGAGTGTCTTGTCGGACCACTTGTCCTAATAAACATAAACAACATCAATGGATCAGCCTCTAATCATAATTTGAATATATATTTTCAATACTAAAGAACAAAAACAACCCCTCAAACAGACAAAGTATAAACATTGATACCGCTTCAATGGAGAATTCAGATACGGCTGGGTCAACTTCAATCGAGAAGAGAGGATCCAGAAAATGACTTTAATCGAGTGTAGCATGAAATTAGGGTTCCTTATTACTTCAATGAAGTACCAAATATTAGGGTTGAGTGAAGTTCAGCGAGCATGGAGCCGAGGGTTGAGTGAAGTTCAGCGAGATATTTGATTTTTAACATGAGAGTGGAAGGTTTTTATGAGAGAGAAGGCAGTTTTTATGAGAGAGAATGAGGGTTTTAATGAGAGAGAAGTTGGGTGGGTCATAGTTATATTCATTCTCTTGTTTTAGCAGCTGGCCCTTTCAAGGGTACAAATGATTTGTTCAAATTTTGATTGACCTAGTATTTGTAGCGGACATAAAAGGCTAGTTGCGTGTAAATAATTTATTTTTAAAATAAATTTTTATTAGTAGTTGACATTGTTACGCCAGTGGCAAATGTTAAAGTAATTGCAACTGGCATTAAATAGGCTAGTTGCTACTATAAATTTTTGCTTTTATACTCTAAGTATTAGCAATGCTCATTATTACGCCAGTTGCTAATGACATAATATTTGTAGTTGACATTATTTTAGCCAGTTACAATAAGTGTTTTAGTAACTAACATATATAACGTCAGTTGCTAATAGGGTGCTGCTAATAGCAATTTTTCCACTAGTGAAACATCAAAATAAAACCAAACAAACATGAAATTATACAAAGCAATAAAATGAGATAGAGTTAAAATCCTCATTGATTGATTATGGAGATCTTCAATACAATTGTCACCTTTGATCTTCAATCTCTAAAATCCCAATTAAATCTCTCACTTTCTCTATCTAAATCTACTCCTATATCTAACCTTAAAACTAGAGAGAGAAGCACTCAACTAAACTAAAATTATGTTTAAAAAATTGGGTAAAAAAAGGTATTTATATGAGGCGCCAAAAAGGATTCGAGCAAAATTAGAAAACAAGGATGAGCGCCCTCGTGAGCAAAAGCGCGCGCTTGCGGACGAGGCACGCGCACCCACACACATAGTGGTGGCGCGGCCGCTCTTTCTGGGTTTCTTTTCACTTTCTCGTTGCTTCGCGCGCTCGATAATGACCCCGTGAGCTCCGGATGATGCATGATGATAAGGCAGTTTCTGAGGGCCTCCACGGTGGGTTCAACACCGCCTCTTCATAGGAGCACGACTCTAGAGCGCAAGAGCTAAAACTTGGAGCATCCACTTCGTTGCGTCTTCAGCTTTCTCAATGCTATGGGCCTACTCCATGTAGACATCTACTTTTGGAATCCTGTCCAGACAAGAAGTGCTATGACGATAAATAAAATCATTTCATGTTGGATCAACGTGAAGAAAACTTATGGATAACTGATTGAATCACAAGAACATAAAAATGACTAGCCTAACTCCAAAAATAAAAATAATAAGGCCCAATTAATAAAGTCCGATCATAATTAGGCTTAAGCCCGAGGTTAAAACCTAATTATGAAGGATTTAGAGGTGCATAGGTTAAAAATAAATGCTGCCACAGAGAAATCCGCGCGCATCTCAATGAGTCGCGCTGGTCTGGCATTGTAGGGGATCCTTCTCCTTAAATGCCCATGGCCCTTTAGAAGGCTAGGAATTTACATTTGTTAGGGTGTATTAGGATTTGAATTCCTGACTGTTTGAGGAACCTTGAATTAACAATGGCACTATCATCACGCTTTTTTGTAAGAAACAAGTAAAAGTCGCCAATGAGTTTTAGAAAAACTCATAAACCTTGTTCATGCCTTACTCCCAAGTAGAGTTCAAGGGATAATTAGCACGAATCGTAAGTTTACCCATGCCCAAATTGGTCTACATGAACCAGAAATGAGTTCAGGAGCGAGGGTACCAAGATAACGTTCCCTTTAGAAGGGAATCGCTATCCTAGCCTTAGTACGGCCTCTACTAGCTCTTCCTTTATTACAATTTCATCATAAAAAAAAATATGCAACGTGGTACCTAAATCTTAGTTAGTTGATTTTTTTTACAAGCATTAATCACGTAGGAATTACATTGCAAAAGTCGTTATTATTCTTTTTTTAATAAAATTCGTGAAAAGAAAAAGAAATAAACAATATTTGCCTTAACTTAGGTGATAAAACAATCAATTAATTATTCAAATTCTAGTCTTGATTAACACAAGTATTTTATGTGAATTAAATTAATTAAAAGCTTGTTAAAAGTTATCAAACAACACTACTTATTCAATTAAAGTTATTTAAACAATAAAATAAAAGTGATTTATCTAAGTACTTAGGAAACTAACCGTTCTCCCTTTATGTTAAATCTCCGTTTAATGCGTTCATGGACTTTCTTTCTTCTTTGTACCTCCAAGGACTTCAATGGATTCAATTAGGGCTGGAAAGTATTTGGGAAGAGAGAAGAAAAGTAGTATGATAGTAAGAGAACACTTGAGAGATTAAGGTTTTGAGAATGCTAGTATTTGAATTTTGATTTTTCGGTCCTCTTTCGGGTTGAACGAAGACCCCTATTTATAGGCGTAGGGATCTAGGTTTAGGGTTTTAGAGCCGCGCCGTCAGGTCACACGCGCAACTCTCTATGTTGGGCTTGGTGCCGCGCGCAACTTTATGATTTATGTTGGGTGCGATTTTCCTTATACGAAAACACGTTTTTAAAACTTCCATAACTTTTAATTGCGAAAGGGGATAAAAATGTGTGGGATATCATTGGAAATCCCTGAATGTCTAGTTTCCAATGCCGTTGGAATTAGGTTAAAATCTATTATGAAGCTAAAGATATTGCCGTTGGAGTGCAAGGTTTTTGGTTTTAGGGCCCGGTTTAGTGTTTTGATCATAACTTCTTCGTTTCAGCTCGGAATCGGGCTTATAATATACCGTTGGAAAGCTATTTGAAAGGGATATCAATTTGTATAGTCAATGCATGGAAATATGATGGTTTGTTTATTTGTTTGACTCGGTTTTAACAATGTAAGATCCATTGGATCGAATCATTGCATTTGCCACATTTAGGTCCGTTATTAATCAAGTTTAAACATGTTTGAAAATGTTATCCATAAATAGTAATCGAACAAGGATTTAAGATAACTTGGTCTCAAATATGAGTTTTTAACTTAGTTCATAATGCATTTCGTTATCCATAAACACTTAAACTTTGATCTATCATGAAGAACGGGTTTTTATAACATCATCGCATTTCCTTTCGGGACAAGAGACCAAAAGTAGGTAGCTACAGTTAGCCCCCACTTTGATCGAGTCTAGAATAGACAATGATCAAAGTAGTCAAGGAGATAAATCTAAGATTCATTCTGTGAAGTTCCCTGAGAATAGAGAATCTTTTAGTAATATTTAAGGACGTCGAAACGATCCTTGATTCGCTAAGTGTTTGAGACAAGTAGCTATTAAGGCAAGAAAAAGTATTTTATAGTCTTAGTGCGCTAAAGAATCTAGATTGATCCTTTGCAAATGTAGAACGCTTTTACAAGTAAATGCTATTGTGGGTTATGTCAAGTCATGAGAAGAAATCGGTTTAAAAAGGAGTAAAGGGGATGATATCCTCTCAATTATGTCATTGTTGGTCCAAAGTCCCTCAATATGTCATTGAAACTTTAGCCTGATTTTTACAAGTTATAAAGATGATAAAAAGGGGTGTTTTGGCATTCGTAGCCTAACATGTGAATAAAGTTCTTGGCAATTCGCTTGTCAAAACGCAGCATTCGATGTCCACAGGATAGAAATACATGTCTCAGGACTGGAAGCATATATCCAAATCTAGTGAAAGAGAAGAAAATCGGCAACTCTCTCAGTGATTTTGTCCACAAGATGAAAACACGTATCTCAAGACTGGGGGCACATGTTTACATTGATGCGACATCGTACGTCGCTCTTTATACAGGGGGGTGGACGAAACCTTAACTATCCGGCAAGTCAGTAAGTTCACTAACTACCGTATTTGCTTTCATTATACAAGGGGTGGACGATACCCTAACTGTTCGGTAAGCGAGTACGCTCATTAAATACCGTATTTGCTTTAAATAGAGAATGTGCCTTGTCCCCGATGGTTCGGCACGCTAGTCGACTCATTTAGCTAACGCCTAAGTAAAGAAATTTTACCTTTTAGGTACGAGAGGTAGATCACGTAGAGCTGAGAAGAGGTGAAATTTTACGCAACACCTACGCCATACACTTTTACACCGTATGAACGCCATCCTTTTTTGTTGTGCACGCCAAAAAGAAAGAAAAGAACGTGACTTCTAAAGCCAGTACAGTAAAATGACAAACCTGTCTATGGGAGCTTTTACGTAAAGTACCACTACGGAACGTCTTAAGACACGCTCACGAAACACGTCCAAAATGTATTCTTAGGGAAGGCAAAAAGCACGCTGTGCATGTAGGATGATGCAAAAAATTATATAAGAAGAAAATAAACTACAGGATCGGATGCAAAGCAATTATAAAAGATTTCGATAATTCGCACGAAACCGTTGGGTAAAACGGATCAAAATGTGAATACTGGTCTTTTAAGTGACCAGTGTCTGCGCGCAACTTTGTAGGTCGCGCTGTCCAGGCTCGCGTAAGAAAACAGGTTGCGCTGGGATGCCACGCGCAACTTAATGCATTGCACGCAACATTTGAATTAGTAAAAGAGTTGGAGAAGCGCGATCTGCAACTCACTTTATTCTTTTCTTCTTTCTCCAATTTTGGTCTCTTTCCATGTTCTGGTTGTCGTTTAAAGCTAAGAAAAGTAAAACTTACTCCGTATTTTACCAGAATTTGATCGTAGTCAATAAAATAGAGAAATCGAATGAAGAATCCTAACTTGAAGTTGGGGTTTTCGATTCGACTTGTTTTCATGAATTTGTTTATTTGTTGTTGGGACATGTTTAAGCAATATATTGCAACAAATTTCATGTGAAGTGGTAAATTATTGATCTTGTATGAGCATGTACAAGCATATATGTGTTTTTTGATTTTGAATTTGTGCTTGAACTTTATTTCTCATTTTTTTCTCACATAGACTATCCTTGTTAATTTTAATGTAAAGTGAAGTGTTTAGAACAACAATTATGCATTAAAATTATAAATGAAATTTTGAACTTTGATAATAACATGAAATTATTCTTGCGACTCATGTTTATTTTTTTTTTCACTCGCAAGTTGCAATTGGTTTTATTAATGATAAAAATAACCGAAGGTTATTATTATTCACTTATAAAACTGTGATTTCAAGATTTGCACAAAACTACTTAGTTTAGGAAATTCTTGAAGACATCGTCGAACAAGAGTAGTTTGGCTATACATTGAGCTTTTGAGCCCCCATTTTATG